AATTAAGTTGAGAGAGTGTCCCCATGTACTGGCTGAATTTGTTAAACTTTAGTGCTTACAGTAACCACCATCATTTACTCATTTATTTTCTTTACGGCTTAGTTCCTTTAACAATCCAGATTCGCCACAGTGGAATGAATAGCACATGTTTTGCACAGCGAATGCCCTTTCAGCTGCAACCAATCTCTGGGAAATATCCACACACACTCATTCACAACCACACACTACGGACAATTTAGCCTACCCAATTCACCTGTACCGCATGTCTTTGGACTGTGGGGGAAACCGGAGCACCCGGTTTATAAAGTTTAGTTTTGTACGCGAGGCATTATAGGGTCACTAACTGCATTTTAATACACTTCATATAGTGGATGTTCATAGACTGGACGTGTATCTTGCATATACATTGCTAAAACCACAATTATTATATTCTAGCAGACATTAGCTTTGCTTCCATCCAAAGATGTTAATTAAATTTATGCACATAACTGGAATATTGCATAAAAGACGTGCAAATAAAGCAGCGTTTTCATCCAATGAGTCGAAGAACAAAATTGTCACTTCCTGAGTAACTGGTGCCAAATATAAAAAGTAAAAACAGAATTTACTGTGGTAGGAGAAGCTGCATGAGTCTTTTTATTATTTAATAAATGACTCCGAAGACTGTATGCCGACACACAATGAACGCGTGGTGGCATTTAAAGGCGTCAGACGCAGAGCACAGACACTCTTGACAATTCTGGAGGTAATTAATAATATCATAACACTAATACTGAAATGGTTCAGGCGTTTTAGAATGACCAAAACAACATTTCAGATGTTTTACAATGTGCTCGGCCTGCTGAATTGTCCATTCACACACATTTTAATCATCACATGATATATATAACAAAATAGTTTTATTTTTAATGTACATACTGAAATGTGTTTCGTAAAAGTGTTTCCATCATAGTTTATGCACATCTTTTCTTATAGAATAAAAAGTTGATCCTCCACATTTATGCGCATGTTTTTTTTATGTGCTTTTTCAAAATGTATGTGCATCTTGCTATTTTCATCATAGCTCCTCCTTTTCTGTTGTAAGCTGTGCCTCAAAATATTGCAGAGAACGAATTTTTTTTTTAATGAATTTTTTTTTTTTATATATATTTTTGCTTGAATAATTTTCCATGGGCCATTTAAGATACCTTGTTTGACACCCCTGGTTTAAACGGATTATGGTCTTCATTCTTTTGTTCTTCATGGTCAGGACTAGCCTGCTACTGCATTTTTGCTAAGCTAAAAGTGTCTGCCTTTTCCAGGTGGAAGTAAAGCCATATGTACTGGATGACCAGCTGTGTGATGAGTGTCAGGGCACGCGTTGCGGGGGCAAGTTCGCTCCGTTCTTCTGTGCTAATGTCACTTGTCTTCAATACTACTGTGAATACTGCTGGGCAGCCATTCACTCGCGTGCCGGACGTGAGTTTCACAAGCCTCTAGTGAAGGAGGGAGGAGACCGGCCTCGCCACATCTCCTTCCGCTGGAACTGATCCGGGACGTCAAGGCTGTGCTATTCGTATACATGCACTTTTCATTTTGCTAAGTCCTTTTTATTTCGAGTTCTTTTTTAAGTCTAAAAAATTGTATTTATTCTTAAGTTTTTAATTTTTTTTGCAGAAGAGAATGCTAAAAGAAAATGGTGTAATCCTGATTTTTGTTGAAAAGCTACATTGGTGCGCATGAAGACTTGAATGCATTAGATTTAAAAATATAGATGTTTAGCCTGACTTGACTCTGAATTACTGTTCTATCTTTATTCTCTCGGAGCCTCATCTTCTGTTCGTAATGGGTCACATTTTCACTTGAAGGCTATTCACAAAGAGGCTGGAAATGTAAGGATTCAAGTCTCGTTCATATGACTTTAATGTTGAGGTTTGCTATTTCAATGACTAATCTTAAATGGTTGCATGGCAAATACGGAATCTTCTAGTTACTCCTTTCAAACAAACGCATAGTAGCAGCTTGCAAAAGACCACAAGCTATCGTACGAATGATATAAAATGACATATTTTTCTTTAAGGGGTCTATTCAGGAATGATTATGTGGACTGGTTCTAACATGCAGATCTTTGTGATTTAGCAGGAAAATGATGTAGTTGTCAAAATCCTTTAGAGGTTGTTCTCCTAAATGCTCAGACACAGGCTTTCCAATCCTGTAGCATTATATACAGATTGCTATTAAACTACATCCAAGATACCTGTAACGTAATCAAGCGTAGATGACCCTGAGGCAGGTTAAAGGACAGTAGAGATGCAGTGATAAAAGCTGTGACTGTATGTTGTGCTTGGTGCGCAGGATTTTAGTCAGGCAAACCAAAGATGAGCCTTAGAGATATCCTACTGTCTGTGGTTATACAATGAAGATTATATAAATATAATATATACATCTACAGGATAGAAAGTTTAAAAATGTAATTGGTTTGACGGATTAAAAACATAATTCTATTAACTTAAGTATTTATGATTCTTGTAATGGTTATGGCAGTAACTTTGGCTCATTTGTCAGGGATTTTGTGCTAAAAGCTAACTCAGTGTCGTAGTATTTGCTAATGAGAAATTACCTTGTGTTGCATTGATGATAGTGTTTTACTGCATGGGTTTTGCCATGGGTTCATTGGTGTTCTAACTGAGCATTGCAGTAGCTGAGCACATTTCAAAGAATTTGAAAAACAAATATTATTTTTTACATGGTCTGCTGATTTTTGTACTGTGTTTTATAGCTAATTATTTTGTCATGGACGTAAAACCATTATGCACTACTTTTCTAAATATTGTTTTTCAAGTCACTTTTTTCCACAAATGGAAAGTCCTTTTGTGATAACTTTTTTTTTCACTTGTTGAATATAGATTTTGTACCTTTTGTTACTAAGAGATCTGGTTATAACGCAAGCGCATACCTTAAAGAAAAGAAAATGCTAATATAATTTTGTTTAGGTTTCTATGTATTTACGTGCTGAAATCCCTAGATTGTCGCATATATGAATATATATATATTTAGGTGACTGTATTGTTGAAACTAATATCTAATATTTGCAAAATGCAAACAGTGTTCATTTCTGTCTTAATGGGCAAAGTAAATAATCTAGCATGACACAAATTCCTTAAAATGTGTGGTACATGTAGAAAAACAAATATATACCTATCTGGTACCTACCCGTTATCAGTTATGAGAATGATGATAATCCCTCATTATTGGCTTTAGAAAATAATTAACAATGTAAATTAGAGTAATGTTAGGATGCACCTTGTATCACAATAATGAATGTTCCATATTAAAAATATTAATGTTTACTGTTGTGTATAATTCAGAGAGGCAACAAGGTAAAGTTAATTCAGTAGGTACGCATGAGCTAAATCTAAGTTATGGTTTCATTCTTTTAATAGTAGTTTAATTTCAAACCTTTTGCCATGTTGTGGGAAACATTTAGCCACATTTTCAGTTGTGTACCTTCCCCATGCACAAACGGTGCATAACCCATGTTACTGTATTTACTAGTTGACAAAAAGAGGGTGATTAGTCACGTATTGATTCAGGGTTTACTTGAAAACACTTTCAAAATATTGACAGTGAGATCTGTGCAATACTTTTCCCCCAGAGACCTACTTTTAATATAAACTACGTGCAAATCCATTACTTCTACACCTCAAGAACCCTCCTTCAGCCATCATATCCTTTATCGTTCTCTGATTTATACCGTAAAAAAAGAACTACTTAATATATATATATATATAGGTGTTTTTACTTTTATGTATTCACATATTTTCCTACTTGAGTTCATGCTACTGTGATTACAAACTATGTAAATATTAAGTGAATAATGTTTTGACCATTTACTGATATATTTTTAATTGGAATGTAATAATTGTCATTTTGATTATAGTTTTTGATCAGTACACTTAGATTTTCTAGTTTTAATAATCACTATATTGTGCTTCATGTCTACAGAAGGATAAGAAACAAAATATCAGAAAACTATCTATGTAACTGCTTATTTAAATTTACATAGTTTATAACTGTGTATGGGAAGGTGTATTTATCAATAGATTTTTATAAGAGGAATAATTTTTTTGCTATGTCATTTCTAAGTTTTAATTTTTATATTTTAAATCCATATGGAGTTATGTAAAGAGAAAAAAATATCATTTTATAGTTGGGTTAGTCATACATGTGCTTTGGTAGTTGAGTCTTGATTATTTGCGGTTAAATATTTATAACAGAATGCTTAAAGTATTTGTAATGTGAAATGTTGAATGAATAAACTTGATTGCAGGAAATGACGTGGGTCTCGTCCATTTAAAGGAATGGAACATGGTAGAAAAATGTACCTGTAATTAATGTTAATTTAACTCAACCTTCAAAAGTGTAAGGCATCATCTTTTGATAGAGCGCAGTTGGAAATGCATTAAGCTGCTGGCACGTTGTCTGAGAATGGGGTCAACCCTATTTTTAGCTTCTTTGAGGCAGCATGCAAAAACAACATTATGATTATGATGAGGACAAAACAGTGAGACCTTGATTCTGGAATTACTGAGATTGATTATTTGTACTATAATGTAAGGCCATATTAATGGATCTTTTATGAAGGTATGCATGAGATATGCAAATTGGTACTTCTAACGCAATACTGGCAGCCCTTTGTGCTATAATGCACATTATTTTATATGTGTGTATATATAAAAACTGAGTTTATATTAAATCTGAATAAGGTTTTTAATGCAGGCACTAAAGGCCGCCTTCACCATTATTGCAGATGGAAAAAGCGCCCTCTGGCGTGACTTTTGTTAATGCATAAAAACAAGTGAACATCCATTTATAATTATTTTTATGTCCAAATCAATTATATTGCAGTTTGATTTGATTTATAATAAGGTTTATCAAACAATCTATGTACTACGTTCGTTGTGTTAATCAAAATAACATTTTGTTATTTAGATTAGTATCTCGACTGATTTTTTTTTTAAGTAAATGTTAAATATTTTGTGATTTTTATTTTTCATAACTCAACATATTTCACAATTCATACCTATTTACAATACTTTTCACTGAGAGCCTATTTAATAAATTACAATTGCTTGAATGGTGAAAAGGCAGCACAAAATTAGTGTGTTAGGAAATATAAAATGAAAAGAATTTCATAATTCATCAGTGTGTCGTCATAAAGCATGAAACATGCCACTGGAAACATATTTGATGTAAAACTAATGGGGAGTTTTATGTAACGTTAAATGAACAATGGAACAAAATGACAGAAAAACAATTAATTGCGTAACGTTACATATTCTGTCTCTGCCACAATTAAGTCGTGGATCTGAAACAAAATAATATTTGATAACATTTGTGGACAAATATCGCTTATTAATGAACTGTTATTTTTGCATTTACTGCTCCTTTAAGGGCCTACAGTATAGTAGCGTTTGTGCCGCCATTTTAATACATGATAGTACTGTTGATTAACTCGTGACCTTTCTAAGAAACTTCTGTCCCTTTTCTCAACACGCGAACTACTTTATTTTGTAAAGTCAAGATTTGTGTCGCCGTTTAAAATGTCAACTTACCGTAAACTGCTTTACACACCGCTCTTTGGTTCTCAGCCGTTCCAACCTGACAAGAAAACAGGACGAAACGGAGAAAACAAACTGAGAAAGAAAATGAACACGATGACTCAAGAGGGAACTCCACTTATGTTTGACACTAGTCCTGAAATAACACCATGCTTTTCAAGAAAGGTGAAAATACACCACCTTTTGAGGGTTTACTCGAATGTGGGGATCTCGAAGAAAAAGTCGTCGGTTAATCTGAGAGAATCTAACGGCAGAAAACCACAGCGCGCCAGACATACAGCGAGAGGTCTGTGAGGTCAAACAACACATTTTGCATAACGTTACTCTGTTAATGTACAGAAACGTTAGAATATAAATGTGCTTATGCTTTTTGTAGAGCCATTATCTGATGATTTTGTGTTTCCGTCAAGAAGGACTCGAAGCGAAAATAAAATGGTGGGTTTAGTACGATTTCAGAGATTTACGGCATTTTATTTTTGTGACCTGTTTCTTTTCTTTTTTTTTACCTCATTGTCAGGCCCAAACAAAACAGGATGTGTTGAGGACGATCAAGAGAATGGTAGAGGAGAACAGGGTCACCAGAGTGCGATTACTCGCCTTGAGGCAGATGAGCAGAAGCAAATGAGGTTTGCATTTGTCTGCAGGAAAAAGTACATCATAAAAACTAACTTGCGTCAATGTTTGCACACCCTCATGTTTCACGCCCGTGTGATTAATTTTTCTTTTCATGAAACAAAAAACAGCATTTTTAGAGTCTTCATTTGAACTACGTGTTAATATTTATTTTTCGTGGGGGAAAAAAAAAAAAAAAAAAAAAAAAAAAAAAAATATATATATATATATATATATATATATATATATATATATATATATATATATATATATATATAGCCTAAAAATTAAAACAGCTAGAATAAGTCTGTAGGTATTTGTGTTTAGGCTCTATGATTATGTGCATATGATTTTGGCTCAGTTATAACAGACTAAAGTTTATGTTTAAGAAAAAGCTGTGTAAAGAAAATGTTGAGAATAAAATATTGACCATAGTTATCTTACTTTTTTGTTTTACCTGACATTAATATATTAATTAATATTTAATACAGTGGAAGTCAGAGTTATTAGCCTTCCTAAATTATTAGTGCCCTTGTTTATTTTTCCTCAGTTTCTGTTTAACGGAGAAAAGATTTTCTTAACACATTTCTAAACATAATAGTTCTTAATAACTCATTTTTAATAACTGATTTATCTTTACCATGATGACAGTGCATAAATATTTTATTAGATATTTTTCAAGACACTTCTATACAGCTTAAGGTTAATTAACAACTAGGTGAACTAGGCAGGTTAGGGCAATTAGGCAAGTTTTTGTATAATGGTGGTTTGTTCTGTAGACTATCGGAAAAAATATATAGCTTAAAGGGGCTAATGATTTTGACCTTAATAATGTTTTTTTTTTTAATTAAAAACTGCTTCTAGCCATTTATTTATTCTAGCCAAAGTAAAACAAATGAGATTTTACTCCAGAAGAAAAAAATATTATCAGACAAATTGTGAAAATTTTCTTGCTCTGTTAAACATCATTTGGAAAATGGGTGTGGTTTAATAATTCTGATTTCAACTGTATATATTAGTCTTAAGCCTTTAACTGCCTGCTCTACCAAATGGTTGACTATATTTTGACTGTTTTAAAAAACGACTGTTAAAGTCATTTAAAGGATGACTTTTAAATAATGGTTTACACGCAGCATTGTTACAAAACAAAAACAAACAAACAAACTACTGTTGCACTACTACAATTAATTTGCTTTTGTTTTTTGGTAATAAACAATAACAAAAAAAAAAACAAGAAAACATGTTACCGGATGTCCGCGAGGTTTAAAAAAGTATTAAAAGTTGATAAATCAATGTAGAGAAATTTAAGGCCCTTAAAAAGTATTAAAAAGGCTATTTTGCATGGTATTAAATTTTGTATAATTTTTGATTGTGTAATGTATGGTTGTATACTAAAGTTTGCATGAATTAAAGCTGTGAATATCAGGATGTTGTGTAATTATGAAATCAATAAAATCCCACTATAGATTTAGCTAAAATCAATAGATTTTGTTTCAGTATATAAATAATGTTTTAGTTCTAGATTATTTTCTTACATTAATATTTAGTAAAATATACAGTAAGTTAAAAACTTTCCAGTGTTTCCGGTTGAAAAGTGGTTATAAGGTCTTTAGGAAAGAGTCTTAAAAAAGGCCATAAAATGTATTTAATTTTACTTTCTGATTCCTGTATATACTCGGAGTTAAATGAGAATCTGAAATATTTTATGGCATACTTCAAAAAATAAATGATTCAATATTCAAAAATGTTTTATTTTGATTGTTTTTAAATAAACTGGTCTTACACTTCATATTTTCAGATTTTTCATAGTATATGTATTAATTCCGTCACTTTTACCATAAACCGACATATCAACCATTTGGTAGAGGCTGATATTTGAGAAATTATGAGATGTGTTGAAAAAATGCATTAGTGTTAACTAGCGACATTAGGAGTTAAATGCAGTCCATTTTTTTTCTTGGTGGGGCAGTTAAAGGGTTGACAAGGCCAAAATACTTATGTTAATTAATTTAATTTTAATTTGTGTTCCATATTTCATTTTTAGGTGGTACCACATGAAAAGAACATTAAAAAGGAAAAGACATTCCTCTGTGTACATGCCAGTGCCTTTTGTAAGCTAGAGAGGGAATTTGTTGATCCTTTAACTTTCTGTTAATTGCTCTAAAAAAGTCAATATATGTTACACATTTTCAGAACTAAATTAAATGCTCTGGAGGAAACTAGTATGTCTGACAGATCACCACTAGATGGTGATATTTCCTAAATTAAGAGCAGCTGAAGAAATTGGTTTGAGGTTCACATTAAAATATTTATTTATTTATTTATTTATTTATTTATTTATTTATTTATTCACTTGCAATTGTAAGTATTTTAGAGGTAATTTATTATCTTTTCAATATTTATTGATAAGTATTTATTGATTTTTATATGTAGACCTATATTTTGGGCTAATTCATGCCAGTAATTCAAGTAACTTAACTTTTAATGACTGTGTTCACCCATAAAATGCTGATTTAACACTTCAGTGTTGCTGTGAATATTTGTTATGGTGTTGACCACATTGTGTTTGTTGCTAGTTGCTTGTTTAAAAAAGTAAATTTATTAAAATACTGATTGTCTATCATCATTACATCTATTTATTTTTATTTGCTTCTGGAGGATCAAAACATGCTGAAATCAATCATCACTAAAGATTTAACCAACAAATAAAAATAAATTGCATTCGATTTCCATGGTAGAAGTAGATCAACATGTTGCTTGTGCAGGTTGTGGGTTTGTGGCATAAGACATCTAATAGAGAAGCTTTTATCAAGAACATGACCTCAGACATTTAAATTGAGACATATTAATCATGTTGTCAGACCAAGTCTGTATAATGAGCAATAAACCCCAAGCTTGATTTCAGACAATGATGCTTATAGTTTAGGCCCCTCTCCTGGGCGCCTGCGATGATTATGTGTTTTCTTTGAGCATCAGCTAAATAACAGTGGGTAGATCTCTAAGATTAAATACAGGTTAAATGCAACTACTGTAAATGTTTGTTGTAGATTAGGATCAATTTTAGAACTCGAGCAAAAAAAAAAAAATGATGATGCTCAGGGATGTTTAAATTTCTAACAATAACCAGCTAAACATGTATTTCACAGATAGCAGTAACAAAGTGACCCTCTCACAATGAATCAGCATTAAATTCAAAGAAATATGTACAATCAAACTGCCATGAAGTGGTAAAATAGGTATATATAAAAAAATCGACAGCTCAGAACAATGAGCCGCAGTTGTCCGTGACTGCGTGACATTCTGGCCTTGCACATTTGATACGGATTCCAACACTGAATTAAGCTGTAATTATTTTCACCACCGGGCTCATTTAGGTTCATGTGTTGAAACATGCTAAACAAGTGGAGCCACACCTTCTCTTTAGCGTTGTTATGAGTCCATAGCCACAAGCAAGGGTTGCTTAATGCAATTTTCATAATGATTTGCGGATAAACAGGGAAAACACAAATTATCTCTCAAAGGATAAGATAGACCACACTGCATCAATGTACACAACAGCACTGTAGGATAATTACAGTTTTTCTATACATCTGTCTTATTTTTTTCTGTTTAATTTGCTTTATTTTTATGTAATCACATCATTCATGTATTGCTGGGACAGCAGATACGGAATCTTCTGTAATCAGCTCTGCTTCATGTTCCCTTTGAATTTAGCTTTGTTGGCTCATTAACTTCAGTACAGTGCCGTTTTTCATTTTCTCCTCTCTACATTACAATTAAGCTATTTATCATTTTTTTCCACGTCTTTGGCATTCAGATTTAATATATTGTGTTTAATGACACATTTATGTTATAATGAGCTCCAGTAGACTGATAGAATCTCTATACTGTTTTGTCTTCGGCTCTCGACCTTGCAGAAGCTTGATGCGGTTGAATGTGCACAAAGACAATGACAGTGATTCAGCTTTACTGTGCCACGCACACCTTATGCTACTTTTGCACATTTTTCCCCTCACAGCCTATTTCCTTTTTAACTACACAGCATCCATAATTGATGAAACACCTCCATCTGAACAGCTGGAATTAGTTCTGAGGCTAAAAAACAGTTTGAGGCATACAGGAGTTATCATAGTTAATCTTTTGGTGCAGTTTTTTTTTTTTACATGAAAGGTGTACTTTGAAAAGACTCATTACACTTGCAATGCTGCTGGTCAGACTTTCAAAACCAGATCACATGCTTTAATTACTGAAAGGTTCGTAAGGGAACCAAACGTGGTTCTTCTGTTTAATGTCTAAAAGATAACTTTTGACACCTTTAAGAGTTTCCTTTCTGTCCAGTTTGTCATCAGAAGCATTGATAAAGGTATGGCCATGAAATATCTAACTAAATATCTATACTGCAGTTTTGTGCTTTCTCCTCAGTTTACAATCCCATACTTTTTAAAATCGTGTATCAAAATTTGTATGATCCATATTACAATGGAGCATCACTTTTTTTCTAAGATTTCAGTAGTGCTGTCGCCTCACAGCAAGAAGGTCCCTGGTTTGAGCCTCGGATCAGTTGGCATTTCTGTGTGGAGTTTGCATGTTCTCCCTGTGTTTGCGTGGGTTTCCTCCGAGTGCTCCGGTTTCCCCCACAGTCCAAAGACATGCGGTACAGGTGAATTGGGTAGGCTAAATTGTGTGTGTGTGTGTGTGTATGTTTCCCAGAGATGGGTTGCGGCTGGAAGGGGATCCGCTGCGTAAAAACGTGCTGCATAAGTTGGCGGTTCATTCCGCTGTGGCGACCCCGGATTAGTAAAGGGCTAAGCCGACAAGAAAATGAATAAATATTCAATCAATACAGAATATGTGTTTCATCAATATAAATGTTTGATTTAAAGTCCCTGCCTTTCATCATTCTATAAATAGTTTTACTTGCACCTCTTTTTTTTTCTTTTTTTTTTTTTTTACATATGTTTGTCTTTAAATTCACAATTCATTCAAACTGATCAATGAGTTATAGGTCATAGGTTATGTTATCTAGATTACTGTAAATCTCATTCTAATAGATGTAGTTATTGTAAAACTTGTTTGCAGTTTTATCAATTTAGTAATTTTAATAAA